ACAACAACAACAACAAAACAATACCAAGTGTAACAACAACATAAACTAATTTGTCGCATGACCTATTTGGAACAATTTTTCGTTCATAAAAGAAAATAGTTGAATATGATTTTATATTTTTGTTTTTGGTTTTGGTTTTCATGCACCTGAACTCACTTGAGTTGTGGTTGTTTTACCATGTTCGCCGTACCTCACGTTGTTGGGTTTCTTTCTTTCTTCCTTAGTGCATTTAATTTGACTGCATTACCTCTAATAACGGTCTTATTTTATCAAAACTGTGAAAAAAGTGTACAATATTTACAAAAATAATTTTCCATAAGAATATAAAAACCGTCCGTTCTTTTTTACAACTTAAACTATTTTAATTTAATTAATTTATTTTTGTAATTTAATTTATTTTTTGCTTTTTTTATTTATTTATTTATTTATTTATGTATTTATTTATTTTTTTTTTATTTTATTTCATTTTATTTTATTTTATTTTCTTGTATTTTATTTTATTGTATTTTATTGTTTTGATTTTATTTTTTTTTTTAATATATTTTAATTTATTTTATTTTATTTTATTTATTCTCTTTTATTTAATTTTTTTTTTATTTTATTTAATTTTACTTAATTGTATTTAATTTTCTTTTATTTTATTTTAAATAATATTTTTATTTTTATTTATTTTTACTTAACTTTATTTTATTCTATTTTATTTCATTTTCTCTTATTTTATTTTGTTTTATTTTATTTGATTTTGTTTTATTTTATTTGATTTTAATTTATATTTTTGTATTTTATTTTCTTTTATTTGATTTTGTTTTATCATCTTCTATTTGACTTCATTTTATTTTCTATAAGTATTGTGCACCTTGCAAACAAAAATTGTCAATTCTTATATTTTATTGCCTACAGGCGATGTGGCTTGCAAAGCAAATCTAATTGAGCAACGTCGCCTACAGCGCATGCGCAAATATTACATGCGAGTGCAGCAAAACTCGAACGACAGTTTAAATTTTTAAAACGTAAAAAAGTACCACAAAAAATTTGGTGCAACAGCAAAGTGTATCGGCTATTAAATACGTGTATATGTGTAAAATAACAGTTAAACATTTGCAAGCAACAACAATAAGGCACAGCTGACAAGTACAACTACTTGTTTAAAATCGTTCAATTGCGACCTCAAGACGCCAGCGTTAATTTTAAGACTTGAGATTTATTTGTTTTTTTAATTTTTTAAATAATTTTTTTTATTATAATTTTTTTTTGCTATTCACCAAATGCATTTTGGCCGACACGTGTGGGCGTTTGACTAGCGCCTTGATGGCGGCATTCTTTTACTACCGCTGCTGTAAAATAGCGCTTTTGTTGTTGCGCAAGTAACTCGCCACTATTTGCTTTTGGTTGGCTGGCCTTAACTGCCATGACTACCGTCGTCAGCGTCACCATCGTCATCACCACAAATCAACCGCGTGCCAAATGCACTGCCCCGCACAGCGCACAGCGTACAGCGTACAACATTAAGGCGGCGGCGATACACTGTTAGCCGCGGGCATTATTTGTTAGTTATTTCGACTGACTGATTGTTGTTGTTGCTGTGTTGATTTACCGATTTGATGGCGTTTTGCAGCAGTCAAAATTAACAAGCAGCAAAGCAGCTGTTTTTTAAGCTTTTGCCGTTGAGTTTGCTGTTGGTGTTGCTCGTGTTCCGCATGTTGCAGCGTGTCTCGTGCGTGTGTGTGTGTGTGTGTGTATGTGTGTGTTGTATCTACATGCACTCGTACGCATAAATTTTTGCACTCGCATTCGTAATTAAACGGCAGCATGCTGGTGCGGACAGTTTGGCGACGTACGCTGAGTATGTACGTGCGGCTAAGGCGTTGCAGCAGGTGCGGCGAGGTTGGCTACAGGTTGGTCAAGTAGCCAGAAGTCAGTTAGTCGGGCAGTCAGTTAGTAAGGCGCGCAAGCAGCGAGTGCTGTGTGTGCATGGCTCGTGGTATAAAATGAGGAGAGAAAAAAATTAAAAAAAATAAAAAACAAAGATTAAAAAATGAAAAAAAAAATATAAAAAGTAGAAAAAAAATATTGGCTCACTTCTACAACTTTTTGGCAAATTTGCCATATTTCGGCGAGTATATTTGATTTTTTTTTTGTTAAAAAAAAACTACTTAAATTCGAGTTATTAAAAATTTTGTGGCACCAACTTTATGTGAGGCAGTTGTTGCGACCGTGCAGCTTTAACTTTACAGACATATGTATGTACATATGTTACTTATGAAAATTTTTACGTAATTATTCTTGTATGCCTTTTCAAATCTACTTATTTGTTTATTGAAATTTTGCTGCATATGCGATGCGGTGCGCGACACACTTGTTTACGCCTGCGCAAATGCATTTCTCTGGCAGTATTTTTGAAATTTATTTCCTTTTCATTTTTTACTTATGCAGTTGGCTATACTTAAGTGCTTTTAATGTGTATATTTATTATAATTTATCACTACAAAAAAATATTAATAAAAGCATTAGTATGTCTAAATTCTCAAAGCTTTGAAAGCCATAAAGTCGATGTAAATCGCCATAGCTTATGCCACCCACCCACCTAAATGAGCTGCGTTACGCTGTGAGTTATGTTATTGAAATTTTAATCTATTTTTTTTTTCGATTTTTCTCCGATTTTATTTGCCTACAACCTTGAAGGTGTTAATCTACTATGATATAAAAAATGAGTTTGAATTTTATTTAGAAACACTTTAAAATCTAATTTGCTCCGTGCGCCAACACCTTTTTATGAGCAATTCATTTTGTATCGAATTAAGGTCAGTCGAGATTGGTTAATGTATTGTGTGTTAAAAATGTTTGCTCAGAGCGATTAATGGCTTAGATAAAGTAAAGAAAAAACAGGCTACGGAAAGAAACTGCGAATTTGCCTATCAATACTTCGGCCTGCATAGATAGGACTTGTATCTGGCAGTAAAAAGGACGACAGTCGTAGCGACCACCAAGTGTGACCTAAACTCCTTTTCCTTTTTTTAATTCCAAGAACGTATCCAACAGATTTATTCTTCTTTGTGATCTTAAAACTTCATCAGAGCACCAGTGGCGTATTTTTCGATTTCTTTTTTAAAATGTCATTGCATTACATTTCGAAACCTCTCAAAACCTCATCGATCTAATCAACCACTCTACGAGCCACCTATTGCCACAGCATTAACCAACGCTAGCCGAATCGAGGCTACAGCCACCGGAGATTGTTTCAAAAAAGTCAGTTAGGTGTTTGTGCTCTCGATTTACAATAGTAATGAGTGTCATATACGTGTATCTGTACGTAAAGTTGAAGTGGTTGCTGGGCATCGACTTATGTAGGTAACAAGCGGATGCTACTGATTATTCTAATTCGCTCAAGTCTTTATAGGTTAGCGCCTCTAGAAACTTGTTCCTAGTCCTCCGAAATATGGGCATTTGAAAGTGCAAGTGACTTAAGTTTTTATGTGCTTCCTTCTCTCTTCAATTCCTGTAGAATTCGTTTATTAGTACGCTTATTTTCTCTGCTTGCCTGTGCTTTAAAGGATGTTCCGTAAGAAGATCCATAATTGTGGATTCTCTACTTTTTGCGAAAAGCTCTCTTGATATTCTCTTTTTTATTTCACGCTTGCCACATTTTGCAAACATTGACACTTTTCTATCTAAACTTAGCATCTGCTGAGAATCATGACGATAAGAGGAGGAAGGAAATGCACTTTCATTACGCGGTATGTTATTGTGTCCCGGCAACCATATTATGTTCAGAGGAAGCTGAATAGCTTTCAAGTTAAGTGATCTTTCTGATTTTTAACTACCTTGAGAGGGACTCATAAGTCCGTAATTTCAACATGAAGGAACGCCATTTTATTTCTATTGATGCCTCTGGAAGGGCCAGTTGCCCTCGCCATGAAAGATAAGGCCTACCAGCCTGATTGACCCTCATATTTTCATTTTGGGTGCAGTAACCTACTGAACCTACTTCGCCGTACATTCTAAAATCATCTCTAAGGATATGCAAAAGTTTTTCTACAAACTGGAGTCCTTTGCGTAGGTCTTAAATCGGACCTCTTTTTCTGAGCTAGATATCAAATTGACGTAACTGAAATTAATGTGTGATTCCAAGTGGGCTTATTTTTTCAAGAGAGCGACTTAAAGTGACGAGATTCTTGTGCTTCTAAGAACGTCTTTCCTCCTTTTTCAAAACCGTTTCTTTTCGCTACTTGCATAAGTACCGTTAGAGTAATTATTGTATTTTTCGACTGATTGGATCTGAGTTGTCTTCTCCTGGGCCTAAGCATGCTAAAATGAAATTTTATTTACAATATCCCTATGGCGAAATTTTATGATATTTTTAATGGTAAAACATTGAATTTCTATATAGTGATATTAGAAACCAACTCTACACCATTTAGTAAACTGTGCTGAAATGGGAAGAGAAATGGGATCATGAAACCTTCACTATATTAATATGAGTTTCGATGGGAAATCGTTCTTTCGGGTATTTCTGTATAACTTTTGAGATCCTTTAAATATTTTACATTCTTTACAACCGAAACGAATCCTCAACTATTGCCAATGCCTCCTACTTGCAAAATGTGAGCCAATTTCGTAAGCTCATTTGCCCTACTTTCCCACAGATTTCGCACATGAAATATACACATTAATACATACATTTTTACTTACAATATTTTATGTGCCGCACTGCTTTATAAACTTGTTCAACACAACACCTGATTAGAATTAAAAGACATAAAATTAAAAGTGCCCAAAAGCCATCACAAACACTCTGAAAACGCATAAATCCCTCTAGCGAATCGTACAAAAATAAATTTGAATTTTATTAATTTTTATTTTCATACAATTTTACAAACCACACACTAACACTTTTCCAGACATTTTCGTATGAAATTCAAAAATAATGAATTTTTTTTTTGACTTTAGTCTTTTACTTATGATTTTATTTCCATTTATTTTTTTTTTTTTCGTATTTGCAGCGACTCAATTTATCGCATGTCCTTCGATTTGAAGCCACTGGAACGTGCCATTTGGGCTGCACCGCCCGAACAGATTGGTATTTGTCAGGTAAAAGGCCAGTCGGAGCGTTTGTGTCGCAACTATGTGCGCGTACTCCAAAGCTACGGTGAGAATCAATTGTACGCGTGTGGGACGAACGCCTTTCAGCCGCAATGTTCATGGCGCCAGGTTGGTACTCAGACATATTGTAAATGTACTAACATGCATACATACATACATACGTACATATGTACATATGTACAGATGTATATATATGTATGGCTTAAGAAACAACCTAAAATTGAAAAGAGTTAGAAATAAATAAATAAAAAATGCACAAACTAACGACAATCAACAACAATCAACGCAAACGGCAATCAAGCAGAGTTGGCTTGAAACCACCAGTGAAAAAAAACACCAATACCAACAACAACAACAAGAACAACTAAGAAACAGAAACCGCAGTTCGTAATCGCAAATAAAAATGAATAACCTGTGTAATAAACATTAACAGCAAATATTAGCCAGTTGCTGGTTGCATGTAAGCTGGTGGGATTAAGTGTCTTGTTGTTGGTTTGGTTGTCGACTTGTCGACTTGTCGATTGCTCGTTTCGCTTTACTTACATGCTTGATTGTTAGTTGTTCGCTGTTGGATTAGCTGTGTATTTGCTTAATTTACGCGGCAATCAATAATTCATTGCATTTCGTAAACTTTGTTCATTTGCCTCATATCACATAAATGGATTTCTCATGCCTCATTCCCTGTTCCCATTTTATCGTTAACCCAACAGATGGAGAACCTTACGATTGTGGCCTACGATAATGGCGTGGGCAAGTGTCCCTTTAATCCGCACTCGAGTATAACCAGCCTCATGTCCAGCACGGATAAAATGTTTGTCGGCACAGCGACCGATTTCTCAGGTGGAGATCCGGCGATCTTACGTACCGAAGTGCAGCCGAAGAAGATCGTAAGTTGCGGCGTGTTGTTGCATGATGTTGAACAGCGCGTAATTTTCTCTTTTTATTTCTTTTATCTTTCAGTTTGGCTACAGACATATTGTGCGCACTCAACAGTATAACAACAATTGGCTGAATGATCCGCATTTCGTGGGCAGTTTTGAGGCCGGCAATTTCGTGTATTTCCTATTCCGCGAGCCCGCTGTGGAGTACAGTAATTTTGGCAAGGTGAGTGCTGCAAGATGGGAGAAAATATTAATGTTTTCGGTAAACAATATCTAAACTTATCTTACTCGTTCTCGTATCTCCAGATCATCTACTCGCGCATTGCCCGAGTTTGTAAAAATGACTCTGGCGGCGATCACATTTTGAAGAACAGTTGGACTTCGTTCGTCAAAGCGCGTCTGAATTGCTCACTACCCGGCGAATATCCGTTTTACTTTGATGAGATACAGGGCATGACCTACTCGGCTGACGAGGATGTACTCTATGCCACGTTTACGACACCAGCGTAAGTGAACTTTAAATCTATTTTATTAAATTCTTTTATCTTTTAATTTTATTACTTTATCTCCATACCACTCCAACAGTAACAGCATACACGGCTCCGCGATTTGTTCCTATAATCTCTCCGCTATAAATGCCGCTTTTGATGGCCCATTCCGCTATCAGGATTCCGCCGATTCTGATTGGCGTGTCGTGGATATGTCGCACCGCAGTCAGTTTCAATGTGAGACGCCTTCTCCGGACATGCGCTACAAGCGCCTACTCGAGTCATCGAAATTCCAGCTGATGGCGCAGGCCGTACAGCCCATGACGGAGGAGCCGCTTTATTACTCCAAGTTAGAACGTTACCAGCATATCGCTTTAGACACACTACAAACAAAGTCTGAGAAAGTGCATGTACTCTTCGTCTCTACGGATGATAAGCGCATTAAGAAGCTTTCAGTTAAACATCAACTGGAAGAGCGCCGCGCACAGACATGTCTGGTAGAGGTGTGGCAATCATCGGAGTTTAATGGTGCTGATGGTGAAATTCTTAAAATGGAGTATTTGAAAGTAACCGATTCGCTGTATCTTGGCACTGAGCAAGCTCTGATAAGCATACCGGCGCAACGTTGCAGTCGTCACGTGTCGCAGAGTAGCTGCCTGAACGCCATGGATCCTTATTGTGGTTGGAATGAGTTGATTGAGCGTTGCACGCCACAGGAGCTCGTGCAACAGTTGAATAAGTTTTGGCTGCAACCTGAAACCTTGCAATGCCCCATCTTGAATGCGCCCATCGATGGCGGTTGGTCCACCTGGTCGGAGTGGTATAAATGTAAGAAACATGGCGATGCGGACGGCAATTGCATGTGTCGCACGCGTGAGTGCAATAATCCACAACCACAGAATGGCGGGCGCAGCTGCGATGGCATCACCACAGAGGTAACGAACTGCACGGTGCATGGCGATTGGACAAATTGGTCCGACTGGTCTGCATGCTCACAAACCTGTGGTATTGCGGTGAAGACACGCAGACGTACATGCGGCAACCCCAAACCAGCGCATGGTGGACGCACTTGTGTGGGTGAAGACCATCAAGAAATGTACTGTCGTCATTTGCCGCCATGTCCTACGCCAAAACTTCAAGCCATCGATGGCGGTTGGGGACCATGGGGTGTGTGGAGCGAGTGCAGTACGCAGTGTGGTGGCGGTTTTCGCATTCGACGTCGTGAATGCAACGATCCCGTGCCGCAGCATGATGGGCAAGAATGCGCGGGCTGTGCCATCGATTATGAGGTGTGCAATGTGCACGCCTGCCCTGAAGTAAAGAAGTTGAGTTCATGGACTCCTTGGTTGGTGGAGTACAACGACAGCCGCAAGAGCGCCGAGGCTAGTGGCACATATGTTGAACGTCGCTTCCGTTACGCCTGCCGCGGTAGCACTACCGACATGAATAGCCTACGCATAACTCTAGCTAAAGAGGAGACGCGCATATGTCATGCGGATGGCAGCTGCCAGCGTCATCATGAAGTGTATGGCGTAGCGGGCGCTGCGGCTGTAGCACCGGCAGTCTCGGAGGAGCGCGAAGAACATGGTGAGTGGAGTCCTTGCAATGCCAGCTGCGGCGGTGGCATGCAGTATCGCCTGCACGATGGCGCTGGTAAGCACCGCGGACGTCATGCTACTCAGGCGCGTGTCTGTAATATACAACCCTGTGAGGAGCCTGCAATCGTTGTGCCTTCAGCGACTCTGAATGAAGTGGTTCAAGTGCACGAGTGGAGTTGTTGGACGGATTGGTCACCATGTTCGGTTACTTGCGGCATGGGTATTAGAAGACGTACGCGCCGTTGCTTAGGTGGACACGACAGAATGTGCGCTGGCAAGGCGATTGAGGAGGAGAAGTGCGCAATGACGCCGTGCACAGGTGAGTGTGATGATTCTGAAAGTTCTACGATATATAAAAGTGTTGATTGTAAATTTTTCTGCTTGTAGATTTTCTTGGCTGGAGCACGTGGAGTACTTGGTCGGAATGCTCTAGCGACGGCATACGTATACGCCATCGCAAGTGCATGGTGGACACACCTTCAGCATCGGAGTGCCGTGGTGCGGAAATCGAGAAGACCGCTTGTGTGCCGAATGAATATGAAGGTGAGTGCTGTGGAATGGTTCGTTTTTTACCCATTTTTCACTAACCCCGACAAACTGAAGATCAGAGTCGTGCTTTAGTACTCTGCTGTGGAAGACCTAACTAGCCTTTGTCTGCGCTTCAATATCCTCTTGTGTTACAAAGGTGGTATAAATACTTTTTCAAGAGAACTTTTTTCCACAAAAATTTCTCATCAAGTTCTTCCTCATCTTATGGCTTCACTAAGCTTTCAATCTCTTTTCTTTACAAAGTAAGTTGTCTCAGGAAACCAAAAAATAATGGATCTCATTTTAATATTCAATTTCAGTCTGATATACCCGTGGCGGATTGAGCTCGTCCTTCTCCTTATTTTTTGCTTTTCATTGCCCATAGGAGACACCTAGTAAAACTAGGTCTCTCCCCAACTGACCTTTCTACTTTCTGATAAATTTCGTACGGCTCACCTCCCGCCGTCTTTACTATTTACTCTTACCGAATCGCGCAGAACCGAAAATCGCCCGCAAACTTTTTTCTCTGAACCTTTTAATGCCAACTCTTCGGATGTTGTCATCAACTAAAATTACGCGGCATTACTTTCGTCATTGCTGGTCGAGATCGGACTTTAATTTTAAATTTTCTATTCAGCACAAAGTATAATCAGTTGGCACGAGTGATTAGTCGTTGAACGATCTATTTTCTGAGTGTGGCTAACAAACATGCGCTTGGAGCCGAGCTAAAGTGAAAAGGCGACCTTCCTGATTGTGGTTAAGGTTTGCTTGCGCTAATGAAATATGATAATGAACTACCTCTTTGGCTCCTCGGCAACCTGGCTCTGCTAAAAGCAGAACAAGTTATCACTTTACACATCTACTTACTTTTGTCTGATCTGTTCAGCATATGGAGGTTGGGATAGACTTTTAGCACAATTATGTTTGGGTTCTAAGGTACTTCTACTGCACTGTAATGAACTGAGCTACATTGAAAAACCAGAAACGTTTCATTCCTACTTTTTTTTTTTGCTTTCTACAACTAACCAATGTTTTCCTCTCTTTCAGCACTTCGCCTCTCCTCCAGCACCTCCTGGCCTTGGATCACACTACTGATATCCATAATCTACATACTCACCATCATTGGAACATTCTATTTGACCAAGCGCTTCATAAAACCCGTCGATTTGGCGTTGAATAAGAATAATACACCCCCTGCGCCCGGCTATGACTCCTACGCCAATCAGTATTCCAGTCTGCCGACAAAGGACGTAAGTTACAAACGTTGTAAAACCTCGATCTTTAAACTGTCTAAATATCAACAGTCTCTAAATTTACAGATCTACGAAGTGCGTCCGAAAGTTAAGCGGCAATCCAGTTTCAATATGTGCTCACCCTCGCCGTCGAAGAGCTGCAACAGTGGCACGCTGACGCGCAACAATATGGCGCACAATCATACACCGAAAGTGTTGGCGAAGACATACAACGACTGTGAGACGGGCACGCTGAAGAGGAACTCCCACCAGCTGAATAATTATCGTTCGAATATTGATGATGAGAAGTTCTAGTGAAAGCTAAGCGAGGAAAAATAACACTCCAGCCGATTTGGGTTGCGTGGGTGCTGATTGCTGATTGCTGATTGAAGGTGCCTCAAGTCGCCAGTGGGGCGTTGCAGTTGCTGTGACTGAGTACGCGTGCGCGCAGTGCCTTCAATTTTTGCTATAAAATTACAATAATAAATAAATTAAGTAAACTCGTACCTTTGGTCGCTCAAATGTGCTCTACGCTGCTTGGCAGCTAATTAAGATGCGTCTTAAAATCAAAATGCATGCCTCAGTGTCTGTGTGTACGTGTTTGTGTGTGCATATGAATAAACAGAAATTTATAGATATTTTATATGAAAATGAGACGCTAACTCTCTCTCTCTCACTCTGTGGAATATTTTGTATTTTGTATAGTAATGTATTTGGTGTGCCATTAGAGCGCTAAGTCTGCCACAAAAGGAGAGGAAGAGGAGCAAGAAGAATGTAACAAAGAAAAAAATGTTAAAATACAAAAAATATATTCAACTCGAATATGTTTTTTTGAAAATGTTGATCTGCAGTAAAAAAAATGTATTTTTTACAAAAAGTTGTTGTAGGCGCTTTACTATGTATGAAAAGAAAATTGCTCAGTGAAGTGCATTTAGTATTTTAAGTAAGCAATAATGACTCATATTGAGTATAGTTTAATTTGAAAAATATTTAGCAATATTTAATAAGATTTTTCTAAGCTCACTTGTATTGTATGTATGTAATTAGATAATAATTTAGCCTTAATTAAGCACTAAATAATTTTATTATAATTTTCATGATAAAAAAAAGTATCCAACTACTTTCCATTTATCTCACTGTTAAATTCCATATTTTTTTTTTCAAAAATAAATTTTGGATTTATTTATATACAAAAATTTCCAAAATTTTGATTTTTTTTTAATTTGATTTATTTATTTTCCAAATTTTCAAAAAAAAAATATTAAAAATTAAAATTAAATTTTTTTTGCTGAAATAACTACCTAAATAATTCTTCTTTCCTATGCCAAATTTCTCTAAATGCTTTAGTACAATTTATTTCTTTTATTCCTCAAAATCAGCACTATGTACTTTCTGTCTATTTTTTTAAATTTTCCAAATAATTTTTGGTCTAAATTGTCGACACACAATTTATTAACAAATTAGTAAAGAAAAAATCTGAACAAAATTTGTGCTAATTAAATTATAATTTTAGTTAGTGTGCAAAATTTCTATAAAATACCGTTGTTTTCAATTTCATTCTTCACAAAAAATACTATTACCATTCTTTTTTTAATTGATGAAATAAAAAATTAAATATTTATTATGAATATTGTTTTTCCAAAATTATATAAAAACCAGCAAAATATTTATTTAAGTTGTATATTAATTTAAAATTTAGATTTTGTAAATAAATTCGCTAAATTAGTTATTTAAGTTAAATTAATGTATAAATTTACCATAAATAAAAAAAATAATAATTTTGTTAATAAAAAAATGTCACTAACAAAATATGAAATGCATTTTAATCAGAGATCATGAAAATAATTTAAAAAAATTTTCAAAAATTATGAAAATATGAATACTTACATATATTTTTTGCTCAACAAAATCAGCTCAATCTATGCCGGAATATTGTGATAGTTTAGCAAATTCTGACCTAATAGGATTCTCTGATGAATCCTAGTAGATTGAGACGAGCTTGACATCTATTATCTGCCTGAGAGCATGCATAAAAGCAACCTCAAAATATTATTTCTCGGTTGCAAGCTCTCCATTCGCCCAGTATATAACAGTCAATTAGCATTTAAGACATTTTCAACTCCTCTTCATCATTCGAACAGCTAATGTTTCGCTCTCTCAGTGAGTATATGCTAAGTAACCTCTTTTGGTCGCAGCTCGTCCAAAACTGTTTGGATTTGAGAAAAGTCAAGTTTTGCTCTCATGGCAAGCAACTTTAGAGACAAAATTAGTGAGAGTCTGCTCTTTATTCAATCATCTCAGAAGCTTGTACTTTTTCTTGAGAAAGACTAGCAGAATCTTTATAAAATTGTTAAGAAATATTTTTTTCATAGACACATACATATATACGATTACAGTTACAGTTACGTGCGCCTTCGTATATGCAACAAACTTTAAGCGGAAACAGAGCACCAAAACGTCGTTAAAGCAGTGCGAACAGTATGAGCGCCACTGTGAAGATACAGTAGCGGTGAAATTCCTTTCTTAATTTTGAAAATTAAAAAATTTCTATAAATAATTTGTGGATGAATAAACATCTCTTCGTGTTTACTACTGTTTCTGCACTGTTGTGCTTGTTTATCCAATTAATATAATTTTTTTTACACTAAAAATTAAGTCATCAGGAAATATTTCAAGCACAGCCAGTCGAAAAATGTAAAATAATGTATATGAGGTGAAGTGGAGTATCAATTTTTTGATGCCTTCACCGAAGTAGTTTCCTGCCAACCTTCTTTACCTCTCCGTGGGTTGAAAAACCCCTTCCATCTATGTGCTGGAGATCCCATTTAAAGGAGGCTAGCAGTCCCTTGGTGACGTTGGCTGTGTGTGGTCTGGCATTGTCGTACAGCAGGCGTACTCCTTTTCTCAGCATGACTCTCCTGCTGTTCTGAATCATCCTCGCAGTCCCACAGTATCTTGCAGAGATGATGGTCTCCTCATGAGGCAGATATTCGATTAAAATTATGCTTTGACAGTCCCAAGACCCTGTTGCTATGATATTGCCAGCTGAAATATGGCTTTGCACTTTTTGGTGGAAGGTGAGAAGGTTAAGATTGTCTTTTGGTTAACTGGATTGCTCCAATTTTTTGTCGTCACGGCCGCCTGATGCTCTCAATCAACTCAAAATGGGTTCCTTTGACGACCGATTTTGTTCTAGGGAACAAAAAAACACAGAGTGACATATCGGGCGAATAAGGCGATTGTTGCAACAACACGGCGATTCATTTAGAGGCCAAAATACTGGGACACGCTGAGGGCGCTTACACAGCAGGCGAACTAAATACACTAGGGCAATGGCAAATATATCAATGGAGAAGAGAAGGATACCGGTCGCAGGATTACCACAATCGCGGCAATATAATCAGTCTTATTGTCACACCTCGTATGTGCCAAAGAACTCCGCCGATTCTGACAAATAGTCACTGAGGAAATAGTTCAAGCATAAGCAGATGGACGGACGGACAGATGGCTAAATCAGCTCATTTCGGTATTCTGAAGCGTTCGAAATAAATTCGGGTGGGTCTACCTCTGCTTCAACTGGTACTTACATACTGCGTCCCAAAGTTAATATGCCAAAAAATATGCAAAAAAAAAAAAAACAAAAAAAATAATAATAAATACAAAAGGAACACAATAGAATATTCGGTACTAGAACCAAATTTAGCAGGGTTTACAGAGCGGTCATAAATAATAATCAATAAATGTCGAGTGGCTACCGGTGCTTACTACCATTCGGAAGGCAGGGTTTGACTCCTGGTGTATATCTGACATGCAATAAAAGTTCCTTATAAAAAACTCATCGGAGGCAGTTTAGAATAAGCTGCAGGTCCCTAAATTTGCCGGAAAGACAGGAAGCTGCACACCACAAGTTTGAGGAGGAGCTCGGAGCCAAAAAAACCGCTTCCACGGCTACATATATAGAGTCATACAATAAGAATGAGGGTTCCTTATGCAAAAAGAGGGGAAAAACTGCATAAGTATTTGCGATTTTATATAACAACTTAAGCATTTCACAAACAATTATAAGAGACAATATTAAATTAAAAAAAAAGAATACTTTTCGCTCCACTTCAATAAAATAAAAATATATATGTATGTAAATATAGAAAATATTTAGGACAAAATTAAAGCCAAACAGAATGTGTGTAATTATTTACTGAAGAAATAAAATTCAAACAGAAACTTAAAATTCGGGACAACAGACGAGAAAAAATATAGAACAGAACACACACATACATACAAACACAAGATGGTTGCGTTAAAACACGTAATGGCATACAGATCACTTTTGAAAACATAAAAACATGTTTAAAGACATGCATCTATATGTACACACATATTATATATACACACATACATACATGTGTATGTACGTAATATGTACATAGCTGAAACAGAAAGACAGTTATTTATGCGGAAAAAGAAATGGTTAAAGCGGTTAAATGAAAAAAAATACAATAAAAAAATAAAAAAAGAAAAAAAAAGTGAAAAAAGTTAAGAAAGTGAAAAAAAGAGTTATAGAAAGAAACAAAAATTCAAAAACACATGTTTAAATATAGACTTTAGCACAAAACAGTACAATAAATATTTATTGAAAAATTGAATTCAGCATTTTGCTATTGACTTATTGTTGTACGTACAGTAGTGGTATTAAATGAAAAAGACAAAGCAACAATGCAGCGCAGCTAACCAACTAAAGAAAGTTAAACAAGCAGCAAGAAAGTGTCGAATTGGGGAGACGTAAAGTGGGAATATTTATTATTTAGGTTTTATTCGAATTTTCTGAAGTGCAATATTCTGGCTGAGTGTTGGCGGAAATAAAGTCATGAGTTGCTAAGTACGAGAAAATAAAGCTGAGGCAGTTGGAAATAAGTGGTGCATTGTTTTAACGGTGCAAAATGTCTGGACAAAGGTTGAAAAAGAAAGAAAATAATAATAATAAACAAAATGCAATAAAAATTTTCATAAAAGAAAGTACTTGCATAGAGACAAAGAAAAGCGCTTTCCGAAGTACGTTGTAGACCACTTTTCATTTCATTTTCCGATTGTTTCAGGTACATTTTGTTGTTGCTAAAATTAGTGATTTCTAACAAATTTGCGTAAACTGGACAGAAAAAAAGCAAAATTCAGTTTTATCAAAGGGTGAACTAAGCAGAAAAGTGTTCTTGAAAATATCGATTCTACAATATCTCCTATGTATCGGCCTGAGAACAGCCGATTGATTTTTATTAGGAGTTCTTATTTCATGTCAGGTAATTAAAAAAATATTTTCTTCAACCCTAAGAGAGAAAGAGAGAGAGAATGAGAGAGAGAGAGAGAGAGAGAGAGAGAGAGAGAGAGAGAAAGAGAGAGAAAGAGAGAGTGAGTGAGAGAGAATGAGAGAGAGAGAGAAAGAGAGAGAGAGAGACCTACCAACAATTTCTACCTAAGCCTTGGTACGAGCCCAAAGCGAAAATATCCACCTACAAACTTGACTCTTTTTAACACTTAAAGGGACTTTAGGTGGCGGTTCTTTGCGATGGATATCTTGACGGGTTTTCAACAAATAGGGAGATCTACAGTTGTATGTAGCTTCGAACGCTGAACGGCTTATAGCTTTTCATGTTGGTCTAGCTAGAATTCAAACTCATTAATCTCTGTTTAGTAACAAAAACCGTTCCAAGCAACCAGATGGAGTACTCTGAGCTTCACTCAACTAAAGCAGCAAAGTTCTCTTTGGACGAGTAAGGACCAAACAACTGCAGCCCAATGAGAAGATCTCTAGAGAGTTATGCGCGAAGTAGATCTTGTTCGGCTGAAGGCATATACTTTCGCTGAGAAAATATTCTGCGGGTTAAACCTTGGTATCTCCAATGGATACCGTAGCGCTAAGAAGCAATGTTTCACTCGTCTAGATTTACGTAAGCGTTGCTTTTGCCAAAAAACGGGAACAAGACGCTTAGGAACATTTCGTTTTTCTACATTTAATTGATTTTATAAACCGTTACTTTCTTTTATTATACATATTTTTGTCCATATCCATACTCTCAGCCAATTCTACGTTACCGAGGTTTTCTTGAATATGTCAGGGGTAGATTCCATTTTGCTTGATTCAAGTAAAAATTCGGTTTGTTTGCAATTCGCACCCAATATGGGAAGTGCATCAGGACATTAAGTGCCTTAAGTGTACATTGCTGAAGACATCCACAGTTATTTTTCAATTAGCTGTTCTTTAGCACTATCTCGTAGCGGAGGAAGTGAGCATGACATGACAGTCGTCTAGTTCCAGTGCAGTGGATCGAAATTGACGCCGAAACCTCTCTATTTTTTACGATTCTGCTCCCTTTCAATTATCCTCACAAACTTTTGCAGTTCACTGGTGAGTCGGCGCTATTCCACAATATGGATCGTTGCCGATAATATCGATGTCAGCATAGAGAA